AAAGTTTACTGTTTTATACTTCCATTTGCGAGACATCTTTTTCAGTAATGTAGCGAAACATAGCTACGAAATAGGGGATTTAGCAAATAATATTAATTTTAAAGAGGTTCTAAGTATATTTGCCCAAAAAAGCAATCGTTTAAACCTTATAATATAGTAATCATGTATAATTTAATATTTACAAATGCATTGTTTTAAATAATTTATATATGAACATTGATTTCATAATTTTAGGTTATTTTGTAATTTAAATGTTTCTAGCGGTTCATAATAACTTGAGTATTAGAAATAAATACAAAAGGTACCTTCCTATCCTACTATTCCAACGTCGTATAAGATCTGAATACATTTAACACCAGTACCTACTACTGTACTATAAACTGTTACTATTACTAGTATTATAAAAAAAAATGTTTCGGTAATAAACAAAATTCCTTTTAATTCTTTAAGTTAATACAAAATATCTTTAAGTGTGTAAATCTATTTTTATTTAATAAACACAGAAAATTCAAAAATACCTCTAAATTAAATTACAATTTAAAAAAAATTTAGTCAATATTTCATTAACTTCAAATCCAAAAAAAAAAAAACGAGTAAAAATGTATTAAATTACGTTTTATAATGAAACTAATCCAATTTTTCTCTCGTGATAGTGGACCATTTGTGTTGTTTGGGAACAGTAATGTTTCTTAGTAATCCATGTTTAATCACTAAAAAACCACTATTCACTGAAATGAAACACGATTTATGTAGGTAGAAAAGTCTGCACTAAGCAAAAATTGTCACATTTGTGATATAATCACACTTTGTAAGTAAGTAGGTATACAAAAATTATACAGTTGGTTCCAGTTAAATCTATAATATAAAAACAGTACCTACAAAATATGGAGACTTTAAAAAAGTATTCAATTTAACTCCATAATATGGACTTGGACTTAGTATAAATAATACATTTTTTCGACAACATGCATAGTCATAACATGAGGTTTTTTGTGGCGGGGGGAGGGGCTATAGATTTTTTTTTTGATATCAACGACAATATCAGCGATTCTCAACCGGGGGTTCGCCAAAAATTATTTTAGGGTCGTCAATTCATGCGGGGAAAAATTG